GGGCATTTAAGATAAAAAAGCATCATGAAAATGTTGCAGAGATTTAGCAGAAATTGTTGTAAAATGTGGGCTGTTGGTGTCTCCAAGGACTGAAGTTGTCTCAGAAACTTGACCTCCAGAGGTTGAAGGTAGAAAGTGTCCATTTCTATGTTCCTTTAATCAACCATTGGCTCAAAATGTTCCAGGAATGTCTTTAGGTCTTTTCCATAGACTCTATAAAATGATGGACGTAGCCACCTTGATGTCACCCATTGGTTTGTGGAATCCTGATTGGAACGTTGGTATTTTGGCCGTCAGAGTCTTGGATTTTTTTAACTAGAAGTGACCATATTTGAATAAGATGGTGGAGATGACTCTAACGTTAGCTGCTAGCTTAGTTAGCACAGTGCATTTTGTGCAATCGTAACTATGGTTTACTGTGATAACTAATGCTAATGCTAATTTTCACTAGTGAAAAACAGGCTAGAAAACCATTAACATAAAATGTATGTGACAGAAAAAATGAACAATGGTGAGAATGGATGAGCTGACAGCAGTGTTGGGTAAGGGTTACTTTAAAAGTAATCAAAGTACGTTACTGCGTTACTTTTTTAAAAAAGTAACCAGTTACTTTACTGCGTTACTCCCTGAGTAAAGTAACTCAGTTACTTTAAAAGCACTTCCAACGTTACTCCCTGAGAAAAGTAACTCAAGCTCTTTAAAGTACTTTTGAGTATTCTACATTTCCTATTGGGCAATGGACCACAGGGCGCTAAGCCTACATTTTTTTGTCTCCACAATTAAAGTTATGTGAGATCCAGTTCTCCCATCACAGCCGTCACTTTGAAACACAGAACGATCTGCTGCCATAGACAACTGTATGACAACAACACCCCAGCGTTTTTAATATTTCCTCTAGGGATGTTACCACACAGAGTAAAAGGGGGAAATGATGGTGTGAAACAGCAGAGGCACTTTGTCAGCCCGCTGAGTTAACCTTACTGTCATTAGCATCAAGCTAGCAAACAATGGTACATCCTCACGGTCGGACATAAAGTAATAACATTAACAAATAGCAGCGGGGCTTTTACTCACCACAACTGCAGAGGCTCCCAGCTTCATTTGAAACAGACTACATTATAGACGGTCCGTTATTTATTAATCCCTCTGTGTGTTTATATATTTACTTTATATCCGCTCCGTTGTCTTTATAAAGTTAACATATCGCACCGTCATTTCAAACTCAACACTTGTTTCAAATTAAAAGCCCCTTATAACCTTGGCTAAGAGAATCTCTCCATTTTCTAAATAGGCTTTTATTCTGAAACATTTGTCACAAATGTCACAAAATACAGTAGCTTGATAGTTTACATATGGCGCTTCAAATGCAGCTCCTGCCATCTGCTGACGCTTTTAGGTAACTACAACAACATGTCGGCTGGCACATGAACAGACACAGTTCTGACTCAAATAATAGTGAAAGTAATAAAAATAGGACAAGAATAACCCGATGACATCACACACGCCGTGAAGACGACCGGGGATAATTGGTGAGTACCAGTGTGTAGCGTGTACCAGGCATAATGCAAGTCCTGAGTCTGAAATATGTCTGTCAGCGAGTCCTACTCCACCTATTTAGACTCCACCATAGACAACGGCAGCATTTCTCCGACCACGTAGCTAGCCACAAGCTCTGTGGCTTCTTTCAGACTGATAGGTTTAACGTTATCGCTGTTTTTAGAACCAAACGACAGCCTTTGCTGTTTCGGAGCTGAAGGACCAGCGTTCTAAAAGTAATGGAAGTAACTGATGTCTTGTTTGAAAATGTACGTAAGTATTTGATTACTCAAACAGCAAACTAACGCGTTAGGTTACTCGTTACTGCAAAAAGTAATCAAAGTACTCTAATGCGTTACTTTGTAACGCGTTATACCCAACTCTGGCTGACAGCAGGCTTTCTTTTTTTTTCTTTTGCATGCCTTTGTGTCCCTTTGTATCACTCTGTGTCCTGTCTCTAAATTTGGAGGTTTGTGGGTCGGTGAGGTCTCCACGAGTTCCTTTTTACCTTGGCAGCAGTTTGTGACTCGTGAGGTGATCTGATCTGTTGATCTCTTCAGAGCTGATCAGATCAGATCGATGGATGAGAGGAGCAGCAGTGTGGTGCAATAAATAACTGAATGGTAGTTATACCCAACAACACTACGAATGAACGGTCCAGCTCCAAAAATAGAAAATCTATTTTTGGCGGCAGATGTTTTGATCATGGCAGGCCGGCCCAGATTAATAAATGTGTGGGAAACCCTGCATTGGTTGTTGACTCCTGTTTTGGAGCGCATCGAGTTTCAGCCATCTTGGTTTTGTTGAGCACGAAGTGACCGTATTTAGAGGAGATGGTGAGCTGTAGAGAAGTGAGGGCTGGATTTGACTCACAGACTATAGCTCACCATCTCCTCTAAATACGGTCACTTCGTGCCCGTATTTAGAGGACATGGTGAGCTGTAGAGGAGTGAGGGCTGGATTTGACTCACAGACTATAGCGACGCCTCACAGACGGCCTGTCATTGAAGCAGCCCTGCCCTTAATTATGTTTAACTTTAAGCCTAAATAAAATTTAATCAAGTGAGTTATAAAAATTCACTGCCTGTACCATTTGAAATTAGATATAGAGAACAAAATAGTTTTTTGTACGAGGCTGTGAACATGTTTGTATCTGATGTAAAGTTGAGCATTTTAACATGGAGGTCTATGGGGATTTACGTGCTCTTGGAGCTAGCCTCAAGTGGTCATTAGAGGAACTGCAGTTTTGGCACTTTTGCATTGGCTTCATTTTTCCAGGCTCTTGGGAAGTTCGTCAGACTTTGAAGCCAATTTGACATAGTGGTCAAACCATGTATATACAGTACATCTCCTGGGTCTGTCATGTGATGCCACTGGGCCAGAAAAGACATTCTCCCATAGACTTACATTTGTAACGAGGCATCTGTAAATGAGTGGATACATTTTTTTGATTGGTAAAACCCTTGTTTCACAATTAGGATTTAATCCATCAGTCTGATAACATTTTGAAAGTCTAGAGGACTAGCTAGTTAGCTGCTCTGCCAGCAGAAGTCTCTGGTGTGCTTCAGGGGCGATTGCTCTGAGATGACAAGGGAGGCTGAACTTCCCCTAAAATTTCATAGAAAAAATTGTCAAATATGCACTATTGAATTTTTATTGAAATAAGAATTTACATTGCATTAAACGTGCGCTAGGATGCGTTTAACATCATGACTTTGATGTTCAAACGTCAGCTGTTTATCACCAGTTTTCAAATGCGACCTCCCTATCATACATTCTCGTGCCAGCACCCTGGACGCGGAGCCTCCATGCATTCCTATGAGACAGCGCTGAGCAGGTTTTTTTCATGCAGCAAAGCGAGACGGTCATTGGATAAATGCGACAAAATCGTCGCTTCCAGGGAGGCTCAGCTTCCCTGGGACCTAATGGAGCGGTAGGTGGGAGAGGACACTCGTGTATGCATGATGATTGGAGGAATTGTCTAAAAGGCTGAACCCCTTTGTGATAGACAGTGCTTTGCATTTTGAGCTCAGTCCCATGCGGATATTTGCGAGTGGAGTCTTCTGACAGAGTGCCGTCCGGAGTTCCTTATTTCCATAAGCGATATAACTCATTTTCACCGTTTGTACAGTACAGTTCAGGTGTTTAAACCCATCTGAAAATCTTTGAGGTGTGTTTTGCTGTGGTTCTATGGCATGAGTGTGGTTGAAAAACAGCTTCAATTAGATGTTCCTTTTATAAGTTACTGCCTCGCTACAATATGACAAATTTTATGATGTAAACTTAAAGTGAGCTTCCCCTGTTTGAAAGACCAGCAGCCGCCACTGGTGTGCTTGCTGTATGGACCCAGTGATGTGGAAGATTGGGCTAATTTTAAACCTAGGAAGTCAAACTTTTTTGCACCACAGAGCAACTTTCAGAGAAATGAACAGGGTCCCGTCTCCAGCGCTGTATCCTGTTTTCTTTAAACATCCATGCATTTTTCAGCCCTGGACACAGGGTCTGAAATTAACACCAAGCGCCAAATTATTTTCCAATTGCCAAATAAATCTTGGAAGGCTACACTGGCAGATAAAAGTTGATCCTAAAATAATCTTGAAACATGCTGAATTTCTACCACTTTATTGTGTTATTCAGAGGCACACTGCTCCTTTGCTGTCATTGTTGGAGTTTAACACACACACACACACACACACACACACACACAAATGCAAATACACACTACAGATTTGTTTTACACATATTCAAACTGCTGCGAAACTTTTGCGGCACCTGCCTGCGTCCATACTTATGAAGGAAATAAATAATAGCATGGTGGCTCCGTAGTCTGGACTGAGATTATTCCCTCCCACATTGTCAATGGCAGCGCATTACAATTTCACTCCTTCCCTTCATACCGTTGACAATAAAAGCACTAGACATATACACTGCTTCACTGCTCAGCAGGGAGCATATTCACATGCTGAGGCCGTGATGGTACGCTGTTCAGTAATAATTTTTGTTCAAATTGTGCTTCAGCCTTTACTTTGAGTTTGTATTCAACATAATACCTTATTAGCTCAATGATATGTATTGAAACAAATGTATATGTGGCAAAAAAAGTTATTCTATTTTGGTTGGTAATAAATATGCTGCTTTTTTTTATATCTATCTTCCCACTGGCCGGTGAGTCAAAAAGTTAATTTTGGACACTGCCTGGAGATTGCCGCTTGGTCTTTGCATGATCTAGTGAGCTACAAGTAGATATTTTTAGCTACAGACTACTTGCAGCTTTGTTGTTTGCCAACTGTAAAGAGAGTGAAAACTGCATTTTCACATTTAGGCGACTCAGTGAAGACACAGTCTGGTTCTTCTTTGTTTCTCTCCCTCTTTCTCTCGATCATGTTTTTGTGTTGATGGAAGTTGTATAGTTAAAACTGACTCGATGTAGATTACACACATAACTCTGCTCTTTCTCCTTTCAGACATTACCCCAAGACGTCGTTCACCATCGTGGCCGACACACCAGAAAACCTGAGACTGAGACAGCAGAGTGAGCTACAGAGCCAGGTAAACACACACACATACTTTTGCTGTCTGTGTTAACAGATTAGAGCAGCCACACTGCCAGCATGAGCAGCTATGTTCAGGCTGCTGCTCAGCTGCACAACAACTAGAGATTCAGAGTCTTGCCTGTTTTTTACGTGTGACAATTTAGATTTAAAATTTTGCAGTGGCATCCTGATTGGCTGAGAGATCGTGGCAAAGTGTGATTGGATAACTAGAGGAGTGAACACCCATAGTCAGCTGATTAGAGGGAGTAGTGAGAGTGGGATGGAGAAAATGTGAAAGGGTGAGCATGAGAAAGGTCTTCCTAATTGAACTTACGCTGAGCTTCATTTCATTTTAATATAACCTTTCCTTTTTCTGATTTAAAGTAAAAACACTCAACAACATTTCTGTTGACAGAATCCCTTAATTTGTTAAAACAAGGCTTTTTATCATGCCTCTGTACCGGTGATAGCCATGGCTGGAGTCATTATGTTTTCGAGTTGTCTGTCCATCTGTCTGATTCTTGTGAACATGATATGTTAAAAACGCCTGGAGGGAATTTATTTAAATTTGGCAGAAATATCCACAATTACCTGATTAGATTTTGGGGGACATAGGTCAAAGGTCAAGGTTGTTGTAACCTCATCTGCCTCATTCCCATGAACACTTGCTCTCATGAATACCTCTTCACATTTGGCAAAAACGTTCCCCTTGGGTCAAGGATGAACTGGTTAGGCTTTTGGTGGTTACCGTTCAAAGGTCAAGGTCACTGTGACCTTGCATCCATCCCATTCTTGTGAACCTGGTATCTCAAGAAAACCTTGAGAGAATTTTTTTAAATCTGGCACAAACATTGTCTTTGTGTCAAAGATGAACTTTAGTGGTCAAAGCTCATTGTGAATGTGCGTCCATTTAATTTTGTGAATGTGATATCTCAAGAACGTCTTAGGAGAATTCCCTCAAATTTGAAACAAATGCTCACTTGGACTCAAGAATAAACTGATTAGAATTTGGTTGTCGAAGGTCAAGGTCACTGTGACCTCACAAAACATTATTCAGAAATTCATACACGAATTATGACAAAATTTCACACAAAGTCTAAAAATGATGAAAGTGATGACATTCTATATCCAAAAGGTCAAAGGTCAACTTCCCTGTGACTAGATCTTTGATCAGGCATAAAAAAAATCAGGCCTGACCCTGCATGAAGCTGCATAGTTTCTTTTTGAGCCCGACCCACAGCAGCAGTTTTGGGCCCAAGCCCAATTAAAAATCTGAATTTCTACTGTAAAAGAACTACTATATCCTATATATGTTTAGTATTACGCTAAATGAGCTGATGTGTTTCCTCGTACCACTTCTCCTTTTCCTCTTCCTTATTTCAGTAGTTTGTCATGTCGTGCATGACAGGTTTGGAAGAGTGGGCTACGCCCCTCAGTGCGTCTAGTGTGCACAGCGATCTATGATAATGCCACGTGCAGATGATGAACGCTGCTCTTCGGTGCTTATTATGCACATCTCTCCCACTGCTTGGGAGGCAGAAAAAACACTGCCAACTAAGTGGCCTTGCAGCCCCTCTCTCTCTCTTTCTTTCTCTCCTTTTCTGTCCCTCTCTTGCGTGCACTCTCTCACTCCGCCTGTTCTCCACTATATTACTCCGTTGTTCCGTGACTTTGCCACTTGTCGCAGTCCCCCATCTTTCTCCCTCTTTCCCTCTTGATTCAGTCCCTTAAAACTCCTGCCACTTTGGGCATAAGAACTGCCAGTTTTATCAAACAAACAACCAAAAAAACACTGCTTAATTGGCGAGAGCTTGACCTGATTCAAGCCATAATCAGTCATAATGAAAAAATCCAGAGTCTCGGGTTTGGCCCAGTCGGGCTTGGGCAGAGAATCAGAGCTCTAATTGTGACATCATAAAGTTCTGCAAAAACACCTTTTTGGCCATTGCTCATCGTCATATCTCAGGAACAGAAGGGGAGACATTTGGTCGGATACTATATTGGTGATGCTGATGTTGAAACTGCTGTTGTATAGATCGTCTGTGCTGCCGTGGGGAAGATGTGAGTGGAGCATCCATGTTTTAGAATTTATAGCTTCTTTGAAGCAACAACCATTTTTGAAGCATTGTCTACTTTCATGGTGGCTACATTTAAGTCTCAAAAGACATGGATGGCGCGGCATTCAATTGCAATACAGTAATTCTAGTTTTATGTGCTATTTCAGTGTGCACATTAGAAAAAAAAAAATCAATCAATCATTTCTTTCTCTTGACAACAGGCAGCATGGCTCTGCAGCCGCCTCTGAACGGTTTATAGCAGTGATCCACAGCAGGAACAGGACAGCACCACACATTCCCACAGTCACACTAGTCCTTGTTTACCATAAAGCACACACCTACTCTCCTTCTCTCACCAGAGTCCTCTGCTCTGTCAGATCAGCATACAGAAAAAAAAAGTCACCTGGTTAAATGGAACTGTCCAGGATTTAGCCACGTTTTTGGTGAATCAAAGGATATTACTGTTTCTGATATCCTGTTGGAAAATTTCAGCTGGTGTCCATTCTTCTCCATCTTTTCCTCTATGTTTACTGATGTTTACATTTGAAAACCTCGACCAGGTTAGCTAGCAGCTGGCAGAAATTGCAGCCACATGCCGCCACCACCAACACCAACCTCATAAAGCACCACCAACACTTGTAAAATAGACATAAGAGCCTAAATTTAGCACAAACTTAGCAGAGCTGATAGAGAGGTGACTATAAACATTCATGCTACATTAAATTACCAAAAAAAAAGAGAAAAACACAGTCAAGTTATTTGCATTTATGTATGCATTCTGTATAATAATAGAAATGTCATATCTCCAACCAGTTTTTTCACATGATTTGTTATCATTACAGACTTTAATGTCATCATTGCATCTCCCTCTTCTACTGTGGTTTAATGGCACCTGACTGGATAATTAGCTCCACCAGCTGTTTATCTCCTTGAGTTCAACTCTTTTATTTGCATAATAGCAGTGGGTAAAAAGATGCATGAATTAGCATTTTCTAATGCAAATTTTCTAGACTTTGTTTAAGATTTGTGCTACATTTGGATGAAAACCTGTCTACTGAGATCCAACAGATCTCCCTGTTTACACTGATCTACTTCACCCATAGCTGATAATTCATCCCATCAGCAAAGGCAAGGAAATGAACTCCACCGCTGACTGAGAGCTACATCTTGGAGACAAATATCCAAATATTGAAGTTGACAGATACACGTACCACTTACCTTTCAGATCCTCTTAGTTTTGTCGATGTACACTTCACATTATCTGTCGCACTGATTTTAAACTGGTTTAAAGCAGCTTTCCTGGCTCATATCTCCGCCCCTCTGGCACCACATGTAGATGAAAACAAACGCTCAGGTGTGTCAGTGGAAGCTGCTCTGACAGTTCTGCTTCCTGAAGGGGAGATGAGTCACGGTGCTGATTTACTGACTCATAACCTGATGCAAAGGACATGTAGAAACCAGCTACACTTCTGTACCATATGTCCTCGTCCTGTGTGTGTGTGTGTGTGTGTGTGTGTGTGTGTGTGTGTGTGTGTGTGTGTGTGTGTGCGCGCGCGCATGCGTGCTTGGGTGCGTGCGTGCGTGTGTGTGTAAGCCCAGCAGACAGCAGTACAAAAGGACAGATGTCCACTCAGCAGTCAGCAGAAGGGAACATACTGTTTGTCATGGGATGTGTCTTTATGTGTGTGTGTGTGTGTGTGTGTGTGTGTGTGTGTGTGTGCGCCCCACTCTGCCCTCATAAAAATCAGTTAATTACCTGTTTGTCATTTACAGACCAGATTTACACTTTCATTTATTTTGTCCCCCTGTCCCTCTGTAACCACAGTGTCCCTCTGTATCCACTGTGTACCTCTGTAACCATGGTGTCCCTCTGTATCTACGGTGTCCCTCTGTAACCACAGTGTCCCTCTGTATCCACTGTGTCCCTCTGTAACCACGGTGTCCCTCTGTGTCCACTGTGCCCCGCTGTGTCCAATATGCCCCTCTGTATCCACTGTGTCCCTCTGTAACCACGGTGTCCCTCTGTGTCCACTGTGCCCCGCTGTGTCCAATGTGCCCCTCTGTATCCACTGTGTCCCTCTGTATCTACAGTGTCCATCTGTGTCCAATGTGCCCCTCTGTATCCACTGTGTCCCTCTGTATCTACGGTGTCCCAATGTGTCCCTCTGTATCTACGGTGTCCCAATGTGTCCCTCTATATCCACCATGTCCCTGTGTATTCACTGTGTCCCTCTGTATCCAATGTGTCCCTCTGTGTCCAATGTGTCCCTCTGTGTCCAATGTGTCCCTCTGTATCCACTGTGTCCCCCTCTAACAACTGTGTCCCTCTGTATCCACTGTATTCCTCTGTATCCACCGTGTCCCTCTGTATCTATGGTGTCCCTCTGTGTCCAATGTGCCCCTCTGTATCCACTGTGTCCCTCTGTATCTATGGTGTCCCTCTCCAATGTATCCCTCTGTGTCCAATGTGCCCCTCTGTATCCACTGTGTCCCTCTGTATCTACGGTGTCCCTCTCCAATGTATCCCTCTGTATCCACTGTGTCCCTCTGTATCTACGGTGTCCCTCTGTGTCCAATGTGCCCCTCTGTATCCACTGTGTCCCTCTGTATCTACGGTGTCCCTCTGTGTCCAATGTTTCCCTCTGTGTCTAATGTGCCCCTCTGCATCCACCGTGTCCCTCTGTATCTATGGTGTCCCTCTGTATCGACTGTGTCCCTCTGTGTCCAATGTGCCCCTCTGTATCCACCACTGTGTCCCTCTGTGTCCAATGTGTCCCTCTGTATCCACCATGTCCCTGTGTATTCACTGTGTCCCTCTGTATCCACCATGTCCTTCTGTGTCCAATGTGTCCCTCTGTGTCCACTGTGCCCCGCTGTGTCCAATGTGCCCCTCTGTATCCACTGTGTCCCTCTGTAACAACTGTGTCCCTCTGTATCCACTGTATTCCTCTGTAACAAC